AACTTGAATGATCTCATATTTGTTTTTAGACAATTTTCATTTGTTAAAATAATATTTTTGGTTTAGGAAGGATGTAACGTAGGATACTTTTTTATATACTTGGCGTAAACTTTTTCTTTTTTTTTTAAAGAGTTTTGGCAGGATGTATATGTATATGTGGCGGTCATGGTGCAAAGAGTTGTGCGTCTGCTTTCTGTGCCGAAGATCCGAGTTCAAATCCGACCAGAAACATGTGATTTTTATTCGATTATCACTTTTCGGAAAACAATGGCAACTACTAAAAGTATATTTTGGAAACTGTACGTCTGTCATGGAAACTTTTCTAATTGAGCCGTTCCGAACCGGCGTTAAAACTGTAGATCTCGTATATCTGTGTAAATTGTAAATAGCGCACAGCACAGAAATACATTGAGGGGATCACAATACCCAAATCAATTGATTTCCCTATCAACTCGCATTGTGTGAAAGGGTAATAGCTAAATTTTTTTAATATAGATAGGTTAAGAGAGGCTGATGTTCAGCAATGGACAAAAAAAGATCTATTTGATGATAAAAATATTATATATATACAAAAGTTCTCATATACTTTCTACATAATGTGGTATAAATGAAATGAAATGCCTTTTTCATATTACATGAAAACATGGCAAAGGATACTATTTTTGAATTGCTATATCTCGAAAATAAAACAACCACACTGAAAAAAATATTTTAGAACTAAAAATTAATAATTCTACACGACATTATTATTAAAATTTAGAAAATCGTTTTATTGACGATGCCTCAATGTTACCAAAACCACCAAAATTATTGTTTTTGGCATCTTTAACATTTTTTATAAAATTAGTGACATAATAGTCAAATTTAAAAAACTGAATTTATGTTCAACAGGCAAAAATACTTTAGAATAACTATTTACATTAACATTTTGCAGAAGTAACGTAACTACAGATGAAGATTAAATTATTTTACACATCAAATTCCGCATTTATTAGACTCTTAATGCTTGATTATTATTGATCTTCATTTTGGTTTTTTTTATTTATAACAAAAATTGATTTCAAATTTAATGGAAAATTATTGGTAAAATAATTTTTATATAGAGAACATTTTTATAGAGAACATAAACCTGATTTATAGGTAATGAAAACTGTAATATATTAAAATTGTAAGTAGTTTGATAAAATATAAATTATTTTTTTAAAAATTTTAGATAGGACACTTACCGCTATTGATTTTATTTATTTTATTTCTTTCTACATTCTTTTGATGGACAAAAATATCATACATCGTTCCGATTATTGTCATGAGAAAAGAAAGACCTAAACTTACACTGTAAACATATTCTTTTATTGATTTTTCATATGTTGGTAAGAGATTAAAAATTTCTTATAAATTTAAAATTATTAAAGTTACTTATTACATATAACTATATAGTATTATTATTATTACTATGTATTCTAAAATAATTATTATTTTTATGTTTTTGGAACGTACCAAACAAAAGTTAACACACCACTAGATAACCATTCGTTACCGCCTTTTAGATCTTTAACTTGGATCAAATGGAAGTCCGCAAAATAGAGGTCATTGATTAAACTAACTTTATCATGAAATATTCTTTCCAAAATGAAACTTAGATTATTTATTGTGCACGATGCTGGCAAACAGAGTCCGAGCGTTATTACATCCTAAGAAAAAACTTTTTGTATACAAAAAAATTTTGGGAAAAATGGATATTTTATCATGAGAAATCAAAAGAAAATAACTCTGTATACAGAAACACTTATATCGTATAACTTCGTATAAA